GACAGACACATAAATAAACAGATCTACAGTACATTCAAAATATATATTATAGACCAAATTCAAAACTTGCACTGATGTGAGGCTTGAGTTGTGAACAAAGAGATATGGCGTGATTTGTTACGCAAGATCGCTTTGAGTCATGCCAGATCCCCTTGATAAGGTTGTCTTCCCTTTAAGAGAAAGAAATTTAAAGTTTCATGAAAGTGTACAGGCAAAACTTTCCTCATGCAACTGTTTTGCCAAAAATGCATTTCTTAGAGGATCACATGATCACATGGGTTAAGAGGTATCAGTTATGTAGTAACTATTATAAAATAATAACTATAACTGTCATAATAATATACAGTAGTAATATAACAATAATGGTAATAACAATGATGATGAAGTTGAGTGTAAAGAGTGTCATGAAATAATAAACTTGTGATCCTTATTTAGCAATTTAACTACATGTAATAACTTTGTAGGTGTGGAACTGGTATGGGGCTGCTTGGTGAGCAAGGGGTCGAATCAATTCATCATGAGATTAATGACCTCTTACACTTCCACTCCTGTATAAGACGAAGGCTGCGACAAGCTTGAAAAAGTCATGTTGGAGCATCACAGACGTTGCTATCCTGCAAACATGACAAAAACACCAAAAGTAAAGAAGCGARAAGTCTGCGAAGAATAAAGAAAAATTTATATTTTTGCTTTACCAMGTTTCAAAAGCTACTGTAAATTGATCGAGAGATACTATAATTATAATATATCAATCTGAGGATAAACATAATAATAAGGTTTACACAATATCAGATTTACATGTAAATAGATTTTATATAAAGATAGAAATGAATTTATATGAAACTAAAATTAAAATGTCCCCATCATTGGCTCCAAGAAAGTAAACAACCTGRACAAGAAGCCACACTTGATTTTGGGTTAACACTTTTAGACGCGTGTAAAAAAAAGCGGGAAATTACACCGGAAGTCGAGTAAACGATGAAAGCAATCGATTGATCAAGTATTCCAACATCGAAACCAACGCGAAAACATGGTCCACTTTGCATCCACAAAAAATAATTCATAAAAAGAAAACACGATATGACAATAAATACATAGTTTATACATCAAATTATTTGCTTACYTGAGTCATCAATTGCTCCTGTATTGAGAAACACTCCTCGAAAATACCWCAACTCTGCGATAAACTGCACGTGCACGATTTCTCGATCATTCCCCAGATGGAAGGTAAACATCAAAAACAAAGTCTTTCGGTGTATCCTCGTAACTTGAACGACTCKCAGCTAAGAGATAATGTTCTTTTTCTGAAGCTACTTAAAGCAAAATTATTATTTCTTAACCATGAAATAAATAAAAACGCCGCAAACAACCACTTTCTTTCATAAGTAACGATCCTTCTCKGCGCCATTTTAAAAGCCTCGTTACGGTGCAGCTGACCGCGTAATTTCGGTCAATCGCGCTCCTGGAACCTAATGTCGCTTTTTATTTGAATTGAAACAGCAGTGACTAACAATACCGCTGTTATTACTAAGTATAGATGGATTTGAATATTTATATGATGAAATGCATTGTTATTTAGACATGTGGGATGTTGCTAGCACTGTAGTACAACTCTGGGCATGCGCACACTCACTCTCACTTCGATTTTGACTTCTTTTAATTACTACACTAACAATATCGCTGTTATTACTAAGTATAGATGGATTTGAATACTTATATGATCAAATGCATCGTTATTTAGACATGTGGGATGTTTCTAGCACTGTAGTAAAACTTTGCGCATGCGCACACTCACTCTCACTTCGATTTTCACTTCTTTTACTTACCACACTAACAATACCGCTGTTATTACTAAGTATAGATGGATTTCAATACTTATATGATSAAATGCATTGTTATTTAGACATGTGGGACGTTTCTTGCACTGTAGTACAACTAGACCTTTTGCATATAAGACACGTGTCCGTTGTACCAAGACGTCCCACTTATCAAGCACCGTGATAAGATAATGAGGGTTCTAAAAGCATCATTATCACCCTATGAATACATGCCATTGTTGATGAGCAGTCTTACTATACAAATTAACGGTTCTTTTATTTGGGTGAGCTGGGAGGGAATATTCTTCTTTTGTTTTGTTTTCAATGGACGAATGAATGGAGGAAGAATAGTGATGAGTTGGCGACT